CCTGAATGAAAATCTCAGTCTTCTCTACGATGTCCGCCTTGAGGTACTCCACCTCGTGCAGAAGAACCTTCTTATTTTCCTTAAGCCCTTCCGCCTCTTCTCTAAGGGCATCCAGCTCACCTTTTAGCACGGCCTTCTCACGTGTTAACTTCGCTTTAAGGGCCTCCATCTCGCCCCTCAGCTCGTTATTCTCATGGGCCAGCTCGTCCTTCTCCACTGTAAGCGCCGTGATGACGCCCCTCTAGGCCATGGCACTGCTCTCCAATCGATGGAGGGGCAGAGTAGGAAGACTCATCGACAATCAAAGCCCGCTTCAGGTTCCTCTCGGACTGAAGGGTAAGGGCGTGCACAACGGAGTTCGCCTGACAAAGAAGATAGTTAGTACCGAAGAAGCACAAATACAAAAGGAAAAGAAAAGGGAAGGAAACTTACCACCATAGTGTGGGTGGCAACCCGGGCTCCAAGCTGAGCAGGGTTGAGCATATCGGCCCAAATCGAAATCTCCTCGGAGTAAGTGGCCCCCTTGCTCTTTCGAAGACCGCATTAGGGGAGCAGGATGCTTCGGCCCCCATCCGGGCTCCCCGAACTAGAGAGCCATCTCGGCTGTGTGAATGGGCTCGGCGGATACTCCAGCTGCAACGTTAGCAGCTCCGGTGGCAACCTTGACCTCGGCTGCTGACCTCACAATGGCCTCAACCGAGGCCTCAGGCTCCCTAGGCGATAGAGACTCCTCCAAGTCGATGATCGGAGGAGCCCCAGGGAGCTCGGGCTTAGAGACTGGTGCCGGCGGAAGCTGGGGCTCGGGAGTGGGGGCTAGCGGTGACTCACGAGCTCTCTTGGCAGCCCGCTTCTTCCTCCCCTTCATATGCTTAAAGAGCCGGTCTCCCTTGAGTTTCTCTGCCTCCATAGGACCCGCAAAAGAGTTTGGCATTAGTATTCGAGTAAAAGAAAGAAAAGGAGAGCAGACCAAACAACTAAGGTACTAACTACCTACCCGGGCTCAAGCTAGCCTGGAAGAGCATACCCTCTTTGATATAGTCTCTGAAATTGCAGTCGACCTCAGCCCACGACTAGAATGCCTCCCTGGTCTTCCTGTCGAGTATGACGCTAGGGTCTTGGATAGCCGCCCTCCAATGAGTAGGGAAGGGCCACCCCGTGGGATTCCGGACTACGAAGTAGTCCTGCTTCCAGGCCGGGACCTTACTAGGAAGCTTGTGCATTAGCTTAAAGCCCGGGTGGGGGGACAAGTAGTAAGCCCTCCTGTGCTCGGGGAGAACACACGAAGCGCTCTTCTTGATGGTGAGGATGGAGCAGAGTATGTCCAGGTTAAGAGGCATGACATACTCATAACAAAGAGAGATGGTCCCGACCACGTTACGGACCGAGTTCGGGTGAAGCTGGTCTATCGTAACGTTGAAGTGCTTTAGGACCTCCACTAAGAGTGGGTGGAAGGGAAGGCGCAGCCCGGCTATGAGCTACTCTCGGAAGATCACGACCTCATCAGGGTCGTGCTCCCACGGGAAGTTCCCCGTAGGTAAACTATAGGTATACTCCCTTGGCAAGTTATATTGCCAAATGAATTGGCGGAGCCTCTCCAAGGTCATGGTGGAGGGCCCGAACCTATCTGGCATCCGAACTCGGTAAGAGGTGGACGCCTGGTGACCCGAGGCCTCCCGCGCCTCAAGAGATTGGACTTCGGTAGGGTTACCCTGAGCCGAGGTGCCCACCTCGGGCTCATCTAAAAGGCTATCAAAAGAAGACATAATTGAAACTAAGGAAGAAGCTAGGGTGACTCACCAAAGAAAAATAAGACCAGACTAGAAAGGAACTAACCCGAGCAGAAGGCTTTGGACGCGAGCTCAAGACTACAACTGAATGTTTTTGGCGAAGGAAAATGACCAGGACCCCCACTATTTATAGCCACTATCCATGGGCATCAACGGTTGAGATCGAAGCAATCTGACGACTCTCATAAAAACCAGTTGTGCGACCTTCGAGGCAAAATCAGTTTAGCGCATTTTTTGACGTCCGTGGAGTCTATAAGTCACGTGACATCCGCGCGTAGACCGTACGCAACCTGAGCTGCGCTTGGCAAAACCAAGCAGAAGACCGGTCCAACCTATGAGTTGGCAGACAAGAAAGTTTGGACTCCGAAGCCAAATCCACCCGGCAGACTGTGGACTCCCCGCGCTAGGTCAACACCCCTAGCATAGGGAGTGGGGGGCAATTGATGTAGGGTGATTTGGCCCGACCTCGTGGCATGGGGACACGTGGACATGACCTGGCATAAGTGACAACTCAGCGTGACAACTTGGCCACTACTCGGCGCAGCAAGCTCGCCGAGGCCCTGTCAAACAACTCGTCGGGTGTGACAGCTCATCGAGAAGCCGGGCCCCGCTCGCCCCGAACCTGAGGATGGAGCCCCTGAGCTCCCCCATGCAAAGGGACCCGAGCTCCTCGTGGGACCCAAGTTCCTCCTAAGGGACTCCGAGATCTCCCTTCCTAAGAAGGAAGCACCCCGACTTTTGGCTAAGTGTCCTGAGGGAGAAACACCTCGGGACAGCACCATCAAGACTCCTGCTCGTACTTGCTTAAGGCTCGCCTCCAGTACGGGCACCTCGGTGCAAGGCAAACCTGCCCCAGGTGGTTCGGTGCATGGTAGCTCGGCAAACTGCAGGGAGATCTGCCTGACATCCGTACCTGCCGGATCCAGTGGCAGTGCTCGAATCCCTTGCCAGGTGGCGTTCTGCCTGTCGTCTCTGAAAAGCATGGTCCACCTGACATTCGTACCATGCAGTAGCAGCCTGTGGCGGCAACCTGCACTTGCCACCTCTGCCCAGTCAGTAACGGCTAGGGTAGTGACGGTTACGCCTGATGTGACCGAGCTCCCGTATAAAAGGACCCCGACCCTCACAAAGCAAAGGTATTGAAGCTTAAGCACTTTCAACACTCTTACTCTCTGTTCTTCCTTTGAGATTTCTCTAGTTCTAACTTAGCCATCGGAGTGTTCCCATCGGGAGAGCTCACCGGGAATCCTTCACCTTCTTCTTCCTCTTAGGTACCGCCCGTCCGAGCTAGAAGCCAAGTCACAACCAGCTAGGAGTGCCAGATTGTGCAGCATCACCGTATAAATCAATTTTTGAGAAATCGATTTGAATTTCTTTGATACCGATTCTTATCAAGGGTTGACTATTTTTGCATTAGAATTACGAGGCTGTATTGGATGTCATGTCATCCTCAAAAAATAAGAGGGATAGCAATAAGGAAATCACCAAAAAAACGTGATCTTTGAAAAATGCTGATTTCAATAATCGATTATTGGCTAATTTCTTAAGAATCACCAAAATTTGCCAACCATACAGAAATTTCAATGTCAAATTCTCTAACATTTGACATTACTCTACATAGTGGTGATTTTCAATAAATCATCATTGATGCCAAACATCACCTAAATTTTGTTAAGATGATATCTAATTTGAAATCAAAAGGCTGAGATAACATCACAGGTACCATTCGTATGATGTTTCACTACCTTACCAACATGATCTAACACCGCACATCTCAATCATTTGATTTATAAACTAAAGAATGGTACTTGAGATGTGTGATGTCAAATTATATTGGTAAGGAGTTAAAACATGTTCTGTTGATAGGAGATCCCAATTCAACTTGCTTATAAGGTAAAGAATCTGATATCCTTGGACGAAGATCCCAATCGAACCATAGATCAATCAACAGAATGGAGTTTGGATTGGCTCCCCCACAAAGTGCGCCCCATAGCATATCCCAATCGTGCATCGGGACACACACAACTTTCATAGATCTTGATCCACTCAACCTGCATTTGGCTATGAGATCCAATTAGGTAGGGATGCAAACAAATTGGATTGGATTTGAATCAGGGCATATTTGAATCAAATCTAGTATTGTTCATGTCGAATCCAATCCAATCCTAAGATCCGATCGGATCTAATAGGACTCGATTTGAATTTGGATCCTATCGGCAAGTCGGATCCGATCCAATCCAACTTATTTTCTTTAAAAAATAATAAATTATTAAAATAAAATAAAATATATTAATTTAAATAAAGTAAAAACAAAATATACAAGTATTTTTTAATTATTTTCATATATATATACATGTTTTTATAAAAAATAAATATTATAATAAATTTATAAATAAATAAATAATATATAATTATATTTATAAGCCTAATACAAATCGGATCGGATAGGACGATCCAAATCCGATCCAAGTTCTATTCGAATCCTATTATATGATTTGATCAAAAAAATCCGAACAGGAATAATCCGAATTCGATCAAATAGGATCGGATGTCGAATCGGTTCAAACCCATTTGCACCCCTACAATTAGGCTATTGACGTAAAAAGACCGGTAGGTTTGTTATAGTCAAAAGTTCCTAGAGCGGTGGAGATGAGATCTCAGTGTCAGTGGTGTAAACTTCTCTCGGACGTAAAAGCCAGAGAGAATTATCCCTTTATCCTAGGAATAATGCCTTGACAGACGCCAGATTCAGACTCGACCTCGCTTCCACGTTACCTCACCACACACACCGTCCCCCAGGTGTCGTTAACATGTCTGACGTTCCACCATCTGATCCGCGAAACCTAACGTGTGACTAAACTGATCGGGTGGGACCGTTAAGAACTCCGTCTCGGTCCATGTGGGTCCTAAGCAAACCAGCCAATTAAAACCTCATTCGTGTCACCACTGGCACCGACTGCACAGCTGGAAACAACGTTTACAAAACTCGGTTTTGATAACCTACCGAAGGAGCACTCCGGATCTCCTATTGATAATAACTCTCACAATACACTACCGTGCATCCGTAACATCTCCCCGCGTATAATAACATGTAAGACGAAGAAATGCTCCCATGTATGGTTGCGATGTAATGTGGGTAGGTGTGGGTAGAGTTTCGTTAGCAGGAAATCCGGACTCGGACAAAAAAGCATACCAAAACGGCAAAGAAGAAAAGAAGCGGGAATGCGCACATCATTCGTAGCACAGCTCTCGACTCGTTCTATTTAATTGCATTACCCCCACGGGTTTCTTTACACAATCCTTTGCCGTTCTTCTCACTCATTCTCTCCTTTTTTCGAGATCTGAGATTATCTTCTTCTTCTTCTTTGGTTTCCGCCTCTGTTCTCGTGCCCGCACTGCTTCAGGTACGTTGCAAATTCAGTCTCATTTCTAGGGCTTTTGATCTCTTTGTTGAGATGCCATTCTCCATATTTGATTCTAGTTTAATTAGGGTTTTTCAATCTGTTGACCATGTTCTTTCTGTTTATGGATCTTTTTCTTCTGTTCACTGTTAATGAGTGTTGTGGACCTTGTGGTAATGTTTAGTCGCTCGCATTTCGTCTTTGTTGTTACGATCTGTATAACCGCCGTTCCTTCTATGTTCGAAATCCTCGCACTGATTGGGACTGCGTTTTGTTATCTTTCTTTCAATTTCGATTTTTTTTTTCCTTTTCTGTTTGTTGTTACTACAAGATATTCCGCTTTGCAATTGCACAGATTGTGCATTGTTCCTTTGGTAGATCTTTAAGTGTTTAAAATGCAGTGATGAATTCCTGCCGGAATTATATTATCTTCCGTAGTAACATGCTTCAGACCGTATAACTAATCTACCAGCTTGTCTAACTACCTACAAGGGGAAAACGATCGAAGTTCTATCCTTGTTCTTCTCTTTGGAATTTGGGAGGGGGGATGGAGACTATTAGAGAATCTACAGTGCCTAACTTTTGTTATTTTGGCATTGTGCTTCAGCCAAATCGAATCTTATATTTGCATAAATATTTGGTAGTCAGGAATTCAAGATCCCTGAGGGGGTTGCATTTGCTGTTATTTAGCCATAAGATCTAACAATTTAATGCAAGAAAGTGTTAGTTATTTTCTTATCATTTGTCTCTTTCAATCCCCTAGAAGATTGTTGTATATGCCAACAATTACTATTCGTATTTCATATTAATAATTGCAGGCAAGCAGAAGCTTATGGTTTTTATGGTTCTCTAGGATGGTTACCTTTACTGTCCTGCAGTTGCAGACATGTAGAGATATAAATGTATGCAATTAGTATGTAAATCATTTCCTTCAGGGTCGATATAGATTTGAAATCATGTTTGCTAATTGCACCTACCATGGTTGCAATACTCACTTATTGGAGAATATCTTCTCTTGATTTTCTACTTGATTGTAGAATTGACTATAAATTTTGAAAATGATATTGAATGTCAATTGCAAGAAGCACTATTATATAAATTTTTAATACTCTTATTGACAACTTCCTTATCACAGATGTTTGAATTGCGCCATAATTTGAATTTCCTTCTCGTCCACTTTATGTTTTGCACCTTGTTTCCAAGTTCAATACCTTCACATGTTCATGTCTAAGTTACTAGAGGTGCAACTTGGGTCGGGTTGGGTTGGGGTTAGGAATTTGTTAAATTTCCAATTGGCCCAAACCCTAACCCGAGCCCAATATAGTTGAAATTATTCAAATCAGGCAACCTGACTTGAAGCCCTACAAGTCACAAGGCTTATTTTTACCAAAAGTTCTACTGGTAGTCTTATTAATCATCTTCAATTTAAAGCAAGAAGTTTCTTTTTTTCTGAAATAATTATACTGGAAGTTCTTTGATTGTCGGAGAAAGAAAGTGCAAGGCTTATGGAGCTTGTCAAATTTTCACATATTCTGTTCTTTATGTTTTAGTTCTCTTTTCTTTTCCTTTCTTCTCACACCATCTATATAAAATAATAGTATGGGGGCTCCCAACAAACCCTTGACAAGGGGTTGATTGGGGACTTCATCCTCAACAATAACAACAACAGTAATAATTTGTCAATCTAATGAACGTTAATGTAATGCTGGATTTCTGTACACCATGATGATCAATTTAAAGGCCTTACTGTGTCTTGCAAGGTTCTATTTTTGTATTTTATCTATCAACTTTCTAAGTTGTCACGTGCTACCCATAGAACGTTAGATGTTATGAAAAAAGAAAACATGGCAATTATTATTACCTTGCTACTGATCAAAAGGGAAAGGTGAAAATGTTATAAAAGGTTCTGTTCAGACTTCATATACTCAATTCAACTAAGCCTTAATTCCAACTAAAGAGGCTTTTCTAAAATCATGCCCACAAAAATTTAGAAAAGTTATAGCAAACAGTGGCATATTCATTGATGCTAAATCAGTTCACAGGGGTCTACATTTGCCATTAAGCAGCTTGTATCATTTTCATGCTTGGCACTTAAGCAGCTTGAAGGTGTACCGTGCACCTATACGAGAGAGTATCTCTTCCCTTAATAAACATGGTGAGAGGGCATAGCCATCTAATTCTTTTTACTTTTTATCTATTTATTTCTGGACCATCTGTTCTAGTGTTGCACACATGTTGGTGGTTACAAACCTACAGTTAATCTGATTGGATGTTTGTCACAGGATTTGGTAGGTGTTACCCATCAAATTTTGCTCACCCCCAGCATGTTTACCCCAAAACAGCTATAAAAACTGTAACTAGTGGTGTTTTAAAAGCAAGAAGCACAATTAAAGTGCAATTGTGCAAGGGGTACCTAGAGCCATGGTTCAAAGTATTGATACGCCTCTGTGTATCGGCAGAGGCATATCGGTACTTAGGTACAAGTGGAAATACCTTTTTTTATTTTATTTTTTCAAAATTTGGTTTTTGGGAAGATATTTAAGCATGTTTTTTTATTAAAAAAGAGTGGGGTCCCGAAACACCTGTAAACAGGTGTATCGGACCCCCAAAGATATGATATGATATGCTTGATACAGGGCATATCGTATCGAAATTTTGAACCTTGCCTAGAGCCTGAGGCACAAGGAACAATGCAAGGCACACACACCTGAATGATGTGAAGCGCCATTTTTAAAAAAGGAAAACAAAAGAAAAGCTTCATATACATGGAGTGTGTGTGTGTATATGTTGGTTAGAGTACCATGTTATTAACACAAATATTTAGCCCTAGCTCATTAAAAATCATTTCTCATTACTTCCACCCAAGTTCTTTTTGGTATGCCCCTAGCATTTCTAGCCCCTTTAACTTGTAACATATTACCTTTTTTAACAGATGCTGGCAATCATAGTGTAGTAAACTTGTTTATTAATCTTCTTATCTATAACTTGTACATCAGTATATATAAGTCAAGAGGCTTGGCCTATTTCTTATACACATCATTCAGAATTATCTGTACTTACCTAACAAATACAATGGGTTAACAATCGTTGGAGACTTTTCTTTCATGTTTCTTGTTCATTATGATTTCAATGATAACATTCTTGTATTTGTATTACTTGTTTTATGAGAACCTTATCGGTAATTTTGTCTTCATTTGTGCATCCGTTTGATGAAATAGCTTGCAAACCAATTTCCACAAATAAATTTTTTCTCCTTTAGAAAATGTTCTGGAAAAGGAACTTAAACAATCATTTAAAACAGTCGGCCATATATATTTCAGGTTGCAGTTATGACTCCACCTATTGAGACTCCAAACAAGGCAATTGCATCAACCCAACAGCTGCATCCTCCTCTCAATGAAAGGATACTCTCATCCATGTCTAGGAGGGCAGTTGCTGCACACCCCTGGCATGATCTTGAGATAGGTACATGATTTCAATGCTACATGACATCACTTGATAATTATTTAATCAGTTTAATTTGTTAACTTCTATTTATTTTAATCATGGTATTCAAAATCAAACATGGAATTCTTAGTGCTTAATCTTTCAATTATCTGTGCCAATATAATGACATCACAGCTTATTGTGTTGTATCTTTGGATTCAGGACCTGGAGCTCCAACAATTTTTAACTGTGTAAGGATACCACACTTGATTGATTGATTTCTGAAAACTTAGTTTTCATGATGAGATGTGATTAATACCCAAGTATTGCAATTCCTGTAATAAAGGTTTTCTACCCTTGTAAAAAAGGTTAAAGAATGCAATCTTCTGGTATGTGTTGTCATAAAAGGTTTTAGTTTCCATTAATTGTTCACAGGGGGGAGAGTCAAATTTTTGAGTTTTATGATGGATGAGGCTCGTTCTGCTTATTGGGTTTTACTAAAGAAACTTCCAATTCTTGCAGGTGGTTGAAATAGGAAAAGGGAGTAAGGTGAAATATGAACTGGACAAGAAAACTGGCCTGATCAAGGTAAAGGTTTTACTAAAGAAACTTCCACTTTTGGCATATTTCTTAGTTGACCTCCCCTTCATGTTCATAAAGGTTTTCATTTACAGGTCGATCGTGTACTTTATTCATCAGTTGTATATCCCCATAACTATGGTTTCATTCCACGAACACTCTGTGAGGACAATGATCCAATGGATGTTTTGATCCTCATGCAGGTATTTGCAAGTGTCTATGTTGAATTCTTGCTCACAATAGTACGTGTTTGAATGATAGTAATGCATGGTATACAAACAGTGTTGCATGAGCACCCCACCTTTGGAGGGGACTCATGAGTTAAACCTTTGTCAAACTTGGCTACAGTGTGAATCAGACAGATTTACCAAAATGGCAGCCACATCAACTCCAAAACTATGAAATCCTCACTTTAGATGCCTCTATATAATGATGGTGCAATCATTTAAACTGTCCAACAGGGCACTCTGGTATTTGTGTTTTTTAAATTTACATACAACTTGTGATTCATCATAATATTAATTATGTGAGACATATCCTCAAATCTTACTTTTTAGGTTCACTGACTCAGACTTCCAGACACATCAGATTCTGGATCCTGTGTCTGAGTCCATGCAACACTGTATACAAGCGAACAAATTATTCTTACAACACAAGTATGATTAGAATGTCAAAGATCACATGATAGAAATAATATATTGGAAGGAGATTACACAAGTGTGTAATGACTAGGGTTATACACTGGCTACAAATGGTGGAACTATTCAAAAATTTCACATTTGATGATATTTGGAGGAATTGGTCTTTAGTGGCTTCTAGCTCAATGCAGAAGGTTATGGCCATGTTGGCTTGGGCTCCTCCCATTGAAGTATTTCTGAAATTAAGCTTCGATGGGAGTAGTCAAGGCAACCCAGGCCCAGCTGGAATAGGAGGGGTAATCAGAGACAAGGAAGGAAACTTAAGAGCACTCTTCTCAGGACCATTGGGGAATGGAGATTCCTTAAAGGCAGAATTGTACGCAGCCCTACAAGGTGTACAGATTGCAAGAGAGTTAGGATTGGAAAATTTGGTGATAGTAGGGGACTCTAAGGTGGTGGTGGGTTGGCTAAAAAACCCAGATTCAGTGATCTGGGTTTACAGAAATGAATTGAAGAAATTCAAATGGTTAACTCAGCAGATGGAGGTAACTATACAGTGGGTGGGGAGGGAGGCAAATGCTTTTTCTGATTCTCTCTAGCTAAACAAGGGGTAACTAGGGAACAGTTGTACTGGGCCCAATTGTAACTTTATGATGTCTCTGTATCAATGAGTGAGGCTGCACCTCGCACCTCATATTGGGATGCTTGTAACGAACTATTTATCATTTGCTTCCTAATGAAATCAATTGAATTTTATCTATCAAAAAAAAGGAGATTCAAAGCTAATTGTTTCATGGTTAGTGGTAGCAGTCAGACTCCGTGGACTCTTAGACATGCTTTTAGGGAGGCAGAAAGTATTGATAAGGACAGCATTTGTTTTGGGCTGCTATGTAATATTGAATGTAGCATTTTGGGATGGCAATCTTTCACCTTTATTAACTTTAATCTTCTTTGAATAGAATTGGTATCTCTGATGCTTAAAACATGGGTTGGTGTCTACTCCACCTATATTTCAGAATGGAATATCCTTTTGATTTAGTTTCTCATTGATGGAGACTGGCTTACTGCCTATTTGTGGTATTGCAAATGATTAGGAACCAGTTCTTCCTGGATGTTTTCTCCGGGCTAAAGCCATAGGCCTCATGCCTATGATCGATCAGGTATAAGATCCCACTTATAACTAAATTGTCATTTAGCCTTTGAAAGAAACTCCAGTGTAGTTTAATCAAAAGAAGTACAGGGAGAGAAAGATGATAAGATAATTGCGGTGTGTGCTGATGATCCCGAGTACCGACACTACACTGATATCAAGGAGCTCCCACCCCATCGTTTGGCTGAGATCAAGCGTTTCTTTGAAGATTGTATCCTTGTTCAGTAGATGCACTGATTTCATGTCATGCATTAATTGGTTTTCTCTTTGTTTGCTTTTGATGGTTTGTTACACTTTTTATTTATACTCTGACAAAGTCAGGAAATATTTTGTCTGTTAATATTTTCTTGACATATGGGGAATCAGACAAGAAAAATGAAAACAAGAAAGTTGCAGTTAATGAGTTTCTGCCGGCATCTACAGCCTATGAAGCCATCCAACACTCTATGTAAGTTTTTCTTTCAAATATCTTGTATTATTCTCATTTTCCCCTTTATGGATAGAGTTCTGATGACATGTGCTAGCATAAAATGGCCGAAGAGAATAGCTGTTACATTAGCTTATTTATATGAGCTAACCTATCAACAGGTCCATGCTAATGTTATCTGTAATCTTTGTGGAGAAAAAGGAAAAGAACAAAACCTATGTGGTTTGATGGGTCCCCTAATCTTTGTTTTTCTTCTTTTAGGGTAAATTACTCATACCTTTCCTGGTGTTTTTGTCAAATATTAAGGACTCCCCTCAGGTTTATTTATTAGCTTATACTCCATTTGATCACAAAATTACAGGGGCTTTATTACAGAAATAGGTATTTTTCCTAAATGCGCTAAATTTTTTAGTTTTGCTTTTAAATATTTATTTTGGATTTGGTGAGAGTAACCTCGTTTATAGACACTAAGTAGGTACCACTCATGTTTTTTTTTTCATTTTATATTTTTTTTCTTGAACCTGTTTTCAACTTTTTATTCTCACCTTAATATTATGGCAGAAAATGAATGTCCCTTCAAGAAATATAAATGAGGGAATTTAGAATTTTGAAAAGTCACAAATATCATTTGGACACTTCGTGACTAAAACTGAAGGGAATTTAGCAGTAAGGTGGAATCAAGGTTCAAAATATACGCCGGCGTATCGGGCGAATTTGTACTCATTTTTATTGCTTTTTTTATTTTTTTTTGCAACCTGTTCAGGGGGATCGGTTTAGGGCTCCTCCACCCCCTGAACCAGTCAGACCTCCAATACACCCACTGTAGGGGCGTACCGGAGGGATCTCAGAACGATGCGTACGTGTTAATACTTTGAACCTTGGGTGGAATAAGCCAACTCTTTTTTTTCAACCCCAGACTATAAGGGGTGAATAAGTTACAGTCCTGGATGGTGAAGATTCCCCTATTCATGAAGTTTTCACAATATTTTAACAATATCCTATGATTATACTGATCATTGAAAATGGAAAGTTGGTGAGACGATATAACCATTTTATCGATATACGTTTAAACTGGTGTTTGGCTTAAACAAATTCCAATTGCTTAGAATGTTAGCGATTCACTTGTTTTATTTTAATTGTCGTGAAGGAATCTTTATGCTACCTACATTGTGGAGAGCCTGAGGAGATAGGCAGGTTCATCACAGTAGTTGGTTTCATACAAGGTTGATGCTCATATATGGATTTTCATTTCTCAATACTAAACGAATGTTTAAATCTTTGTATGCACGTTTCTGCCATTGAATGTGCGTGATCATAATACATTTTCTGATTATTGGGTTTGTAATATGCTTATGACAGGGCTTATCTGATTTTCACACGAATGGATGTCAATAGGGAAAAAATCAAAGTACAAAGAAAACAACCTGCCCATAGAATAAAACAATTGTCTAGCCTTGAGTTCTTACTCCCCCCTGGTCTTACAAAAATCATAATTCAGAACCACTGATTCACTATAGGGAAGGGGACGGATTTGCTACGGGAAGATTCGTGCCAACCAGCCAATACAGGATCTGCAGATGTTATGTGGATTCAATCCAACGGGCAACAGTATCCAAGCTGCCTATTTGTGCACGTTCTCATGTTAAGTCCTTTTCTCTTTCCTGCATAAAACATTGGATCTTTAACAAAGCTGGATCGTTTGTTGGGTTCCGTAGCATTGAAATGGTTTGGAGTGGTCGAATTGGAGTCTACACTGTTTATGATCATTGATCAGCCTGCTGCTATTGTATTTCATTTTTACCCGATCTTACAAGCCTCTTTCTGTGAATAATGTTAAGTGCTCTGTTAACGATGTCGAGCTTCACCACATTTTTTTTTCAGTGCGATCTTGTTAAACAACTGAACAATATAGAAATTACTACAAGGGGTTGTGTTCAAAGAGAAAAATTTTGTTGTTTAGAGAAAAAAAAAAGAAAAACAGATGGCTTTTTTTTTTAAATTCCCTGACACGTTAGCATGGGCTCCGTGTAAGAGTATTTGCAATCTATAATGCCCCAAAAAAACATGACACTTGCAGATCCTTGACCAATCAAAATCCCCTGTGAATTTTGATAAATACCACGGGTTACCACTTTTGTGATACCGGTTGATTACTGGCATGTTTTACCGGCATCATAAAGATGTTGGTTACTGTTTGACCCATTCTGTCATCCACTACAAATATAAAACGCAAATAATATGTTTTCGGAAACATATATAAATGGACTATAGCAATTATAAAGGATAAAGAATAAAAATACATTTCTCAATGATTATATTATATATAATATATAAAATTCTCCTCATAACTGCACGTATGGGTTACCGACTTACAGTCTGTTCTGAACCATCAAGAATCCAGAGCTAACAGTGCATTTCTAGTCTTTTAACCATTGAATCAAAACCCCAAATAAAATTAGGCTCAGTTTGAAAGGAGTACAAATACAAATACATACAAAATAATACAAAAGATAAGATTTTGTACTATATATTTATATTTGCTCTCCTTCCAAACTGAGCCTTAAGAACAGACTTCGATGGAAGCTACGTGAGTTCGTGATGAATGAGAAGGCCCATATTTGTTAGAATTTGGATGGAAGCTACGCATAATACAGTGTTGTGCCAGTTTGAAAAAACGAATAACTCCAAAACCAAAAGGGAGAAAAAATTAACAGAGTGAATGATCAATAGGACAGTCTAAAAGAGAATCATACTTAAAAGGTTCCCCAATTGCTTTTTAGAAAGAAAATATATATATATATATATATTATACAGAAAAAGGAGAATAAAGAGAACGTGCGACGGTGCGAGGCAGTTTGTGCTTCGAGTATATGCCGAGAAGATCCTCTCTTCCTTTACAACACCGCCCACCCCGGTTCCTTCAACCAACAGCAACCCTCAAAATCAGCCTCCTCTTTTTAAAGCCCAAACACCCTCCACATCTCTCTCCATCTTTCATTTATATGCTAGAAGATCATCCCGTCCGTCATTTACATCTCAACTGTTTTTCACTTTTTCTTTCCTTGTGGATTCTCATGGAGTCTGAAGCCTTGGTGGACGACGTCAACGGTGAAGATGATAACGATCAAAATGCGTGGGGGTGATGACGACGTTCATGTTCCGATGGTAATTTGATTTATTACCATTTGGGCAACTTGAGATCCTTTGGCAATGTCTCCTCTAGCTGACATGTTTGTGGCTGCTTAATCATTATCAAGCTTTTTAAGTTGTTCTATTAATGGAGGAAATTTCTATCTTTTTGAACGGAAAATACCAGGAGCTATTCTTTTCTTTCTGTGGACAGGTTACTATTCATTCTTTCATTTGTTAATCTCTCTCTCTCTCTCTAATCTCTATATACATATATTGCTACATGTTTTTCTTTTCCTTTCTCAATTTGCATTCCTCTTTTAAAGATGTACCGATTAATCAATCAATTGGGGTCAGTTTGGGCCGTGGAAACACAAAACATAAGTGTCGACAAGAACATCATCTTGGCATAAACAGTCAAGATTGGGGAGGGGGATTCATCATTTTCACGGTATGTGTGGAAACTCATTAAATCATTTTGCAGAGTTAATGTGGAAACCTCAAAAATCAATACCTTTAGCTATCTTTTTGACTATTCACTTCGCAGATCCACCTGTTCAGATAACTCCATCTAGAGTCTAGAGAGAGATTCTCCCACAGTGCCAAAAACCAATGAAATCAAATGATATGACCTCCATTTTCTTCTTTTACTTTATTCGATCAACTGGATGGTGTTTGAAACTACTTTCTGGTATCATATTCTGCAACTTGAGAATTTCTTGGCGACCCCGGCGCTGGCCAGTGGGTTCAAGTGAAAGAGACAAACGGCAGGCCTTTGCTTTAAAGTTTTTTTTTGTTCTTGATATTTTTTTTTCCTTTCAAGGAATAAATAAATGTCAACATTTCTTCTGATTTTTGCCAAGCGTTCAACCTGTCAAAGGTTTTGTTTATCTTACAATATATCGATGTGTCGAAGTCTCAAAGATTGAGTGGATACTTGGAGGAAATCACTTCGACTCTTCGAGTGCAAACGCATTGTGGATCCGGAGTGACGAATTACGTGTGCGGATCAGATCGTAACTTATCTCTGATTTGTTTCAGATTTCAGGGCTCAAACGGTTGAGAACTTGTCATTAGAAATGATGGGCGATCGCCAATCGATTCATCCTATATACATGAATATATGAGAAAATCTATAGTACCGGAACCATAAGAGTGACCAATCAAAACCCGCCGGTGAATTTTGATAAATATTTGCTGATTGGTTACCATTTGTTTGATACCGGTTGACTGGTCAGAAGTTATTCAAAACCCGCCGGGGTTTCCATTTGTATGATACCGGTTGACTGGTCACAAGTTATTTGGTATCCTAATCAAACAACGAAGAAAAGATACCATGGTATATTAAGGCAAAAACAAACAGTCCAGCAAAACCATGGTATTGAAAACCGGACCGGTTGACTCGGGAACCGGTTAGGCACTCGATTCTTTGTTTCTGGGCCAAAAACGGTTGATTTGGTCAGTAACCCACTGACCTGGGTGGTCCAAACTGTAGGCAATGGTTTTTAATTGTTTTATTTTATTTATTATTATTTTTTAATCAGAATGGATCATTCATTCAAACTGAACTATTAGACCGTTTGACCCAAAAACTGATAACCAAAACGGTTTCATATCCGATCTGGTTTTTAAAAACTTGAGCACTACAGTGAAAAGCAGGCTTCTAGTTGGCTTACTAATTGGCATTGAGGAGTGAGGGCCAGAGGAGCCAACGAGGGAGATGGCGACTGGCGAGAGATTGGCCCAATGAGTTTGACTCTTGAGGATGCCCCCCAGTTGAACAAGTATTGCCAATGCCAATCTAATCAAACTCTCCTCGGTGGCTACCACTGTTACCCAACCTGTCAAGCACAAATGGTTCTCTTCGAGTCATTCCTCAGTTTTCTTGTATGTTACTGAGCGATGCAACCTAAACAGCCCCCGTGAATTAAGAATCTTTCCCCTTCTTAACACTGACCCCAAATGTATGAATTCCATGGTTTTCAAAACCGGACCAGACCGGAAAAACCAGGTTCAATTTTTTCTCAAATCTGCTTTTTTTTCTCAAAACTGTTGATTTTGGCCAACAAACTGTTGAATTGGCCAATTAACGGTTTAAACCGTCCCAATCATTCAAACGGTCGACTATTTTTCAAATTTTTTTTATTTTTTATCAAAACAGGCCGTTCATTCGAATCAAGCGGTTGGACCGTTCAAACCAATAACCAGACCCTAACCAGTTCGGTCACCGGTTTTAAAAACCATGATGAATTCTGGGGTGGATGATTGTAGCTTTACCTTGGAGCCTTCAAATCTTGCTTTATTCCTTTCGTACATCTATTTTTCCGATTTATCGGGATGTGGCTAAGCACTGCCCGTCTTGTTTTAGTGTAATCCCTCTATTATCATTTTAGGTGGTGTTCGCTAGTATAGTGAACCCATGAGATAATAGTGGGTTTCAAACCACACCACACCACATTCAGTTATGGTGTGGTCTGGTTTGAAATCCACTCTCGGTGTGGATTATGCCACAATCCAAAATATCAGCCGGCCGTGTACAGAACACCACTGGTGTATTTACTCAGCACAAACAAACAGATGCAAAACTGAACCAAGAGCCAAAAACTGTATCTGATGCAAATTTACAGTACAACCAGACAGCCCGTGGAAGATATCCAAGCAACCCCAAGGCTATAAAACATTAACGGGAGAACAAAACAAACAAAACTTTGTGGCCTATAAATCTCGTTAAAATTCAATTCACCATTCACAAAGTTGGTGCAATTTCCTTCACCTGCGTCGATAAAGTGAATTCACAGCCAACCTATATACAAAAAAGTTGGTACAGTTCACAACAAAGTGAATTAGGTAGCCAAAAGGTGAAGTGTATTTAACCAGTAAATGTAAATATTTGAATAGCACATTCAAGATGATGACACGAGGATGTATAGTCTGGGTTGAAAGAAAGGCTTGTATTGAAACTTGAACCCCCTTTGAAAATGCTCGATGCAAGTAAATTTGAGTAACCATCCATGGTAACAAGAATAACAGGATTGAACGAGAACTAGAATTTTACCTTCCAAAATAGCTTTCTTTTCTAATAATCTCCAATAAACTTCAAAATAAAAAACAAAATTCGCCCAAATTAAACATAGAAATAATTCAGAGTATAACGTTTCAAAATGCACCCAAAAACTCCTCGGAATGCAGAAAACCGAATCTTCATCTTGAGTGAAAACACGCCTAATGGAAACAGCTGATTCACCGACTCCTCGACCTAGTAGAAGAAACCAAGTACTTTACCACCTACATTCTTTCTCCTAGCCTCTTCGTGATCCATGATGCCAGCAGACGTGGTCAGCACAATGTAACCAAACTGCAGGATTTTAAAAATCCATCAAAACAAGGCAAAAGTCACTATAACGTGGAATTTACCAAGAGGTACGATTTTGTTTTTCAAACAAAAATTGGCACACCAGCAAAATCAGGGTCGAAACCAATAACCAACTGCCCACCACCACAGAAGCATACAAGCTCCGAGGCAGAAATCACTAATAACCAGCAAATCTTACCGGTGGACAGTAATACAAAGGCAAACAGCCTATCAATCGGACTATCTAGAATACACAAAAAAAAAGCTGACTAGTCACAGTGGACATATGATCTACTGATGGCATGGCTTCAGGATCCTAACAACAATTTTGGTTCTAAAAAGACGATGCAATCAGCAAGTTTCTAGAACAATTAAATACAAGGCTCAAACCTGTCTTGAGGGAAGCAATCTGGCAGTCCAGTTCTCAATGTCCTTAACACCAAGGTCAAAACGAGGGCTAATAACACCACACTTGTTCAACCTTCCATTCAGTTCAACCACAATTTTCCCGGCCCTATGGTCATCAACATACTCGAACTCTCCAATGTATCCTTCATAAGAAAGGATGCAATAAATAAATAAATAAATCATAAAGCCATAAAAAAGAACATGTCACTGATAAAATAGAAAAATATCTAAATGAATCATATAAAAAGTCAATAAATGGAATTAAAGAATAGGGCAAACCATGCTTTTGCATCACAAGGAGGAACTTAATGATCACTTTCGAGGATGGTCTGATCATAACCTGTCGCTTCCCACGCTTCTCTGCATTGTACATGCTTTTAAGAGCATCGTTTAAAACGCTAACTCTCACCATTTTTCCCAAAGCTTGCTCCTGCCAGTAGTTAACAACAGGGATTATTGTCTTTGTCAGTCTCACAAGTGTGCTCAAGTACTTTACATTGAACAGTTAAATCATGCCAAAAAATAAAGAATAGACAATTCTGCGCTGTTCAAGCCATACATGTTACAACACTCATTCAATCTGGTCAATTTTGCTCATGTACATATCAAAACATGAATACGGAATGGGAAAATAACAACCATCAAGAATAAATCACAAACATGTACATACCAATGCAGATACATCTAGCAGTAGCATGGCCATACTATTTTGCACATACTTGTGGGGTATGAACATTCTACTGGAATATGGACGGATAGTTACAGAGATTTGTGACAAAAAAAGCATATAGGTATCAAAATTAGACCTTCCAAATATTGAAAATAAAGAGTGCATGCAGAAAAATAGATTCTACGAGTACTGTTAATGTGAGACTGCTAATATTAACTCTCATTGCATGTCTATACTCAATAGAACAAATAAAAATCCAAGTTGACTTCCTAACACTCATAGTGATTCCAAGTTGAATGAATTTATATAGCCAATGGAACCTTTGGTGGGTTAATTAAAGCAACGAAAGAATAATAATGATATAAAGTGAACTACTGTACCCAATGAAAATTAAGGAATAGTGAAGTTGGGGAATAATAATGAAATTGGGGTATCAAAATTCAAGGAGCTACTTGATAACAACTAAAGTTGCTTAACTAAATAACTTATTGCTTGTTATTTAGTGAACAAATTATTAAGTAAATTGTAAAGTGTCTGAAGCCGAACTGCTGAAGTTAGAATGATTACGACACACTAGTATATTTTTCTCAAATAATTATTTTATTCACTAAATAGTGCTGCAAACAGATTGGAATTGAAATCAAACGTTATCCATTGTTATCCACTAAATGGTATATTTTATTCACTAAGGTAATATCAACTTTTAATTCATTTATATTCAGACAGAAATCAAATGTTATCCATTGATAAATCAGATTGAAATTGAAATCTGATATTGGATAGCATTTATAAATTAAACTAAATACGATTAACATATCATATATTATTAATAAAATGACATAAAAATGACTTTGATATTGTATATCATGAAAAAATATATTGAAAATAAACTTTATGAAACTTGAAAAAAAATGACTCTTTGGTAAAAACAGAACATTCAAACCAGTTTTAATTGTGTAAAGCAGGTTAAATTTTATAGGTTTATACATTTAAATATGATATGTATTCAAATCCGATTGTATAGGGGTGGAAGCATTTAGATCAAGGTATAGCAGAGTAAATTGGATTGGATTAGGGTGAACCCATAATCCATATTATAATTATAAACAAAAGCACAAACCAACAACAAATTCAACTGAACCTCTTCAGTGTTATCAAACAGTTCCTACGTATTTCTTCCAGCACAACAGTATGACCAAACTATTGACAACCAAATTTTTAGGCGAGATGCCGAGTATAACAAACTGTACCTATTTATTGTTATCAACCACAATCCCTAAATTTTTTATCCTGAATCTTCCAGTAGTCATAGTGCTATTTAGGATTAAGTGGAATGCTCCAAATGTTGCTGGAAGCAACCGTAAGAAGTCTCTAATCACACCAAATGACAAGTTAAGATATATCTTACAACCTATGCTTCAATATACAGCCAAGCTGATGAGGGCAATGCACATGTGCACCGTTTAACAACTAACACTCTCCGGGATGTAAATGTTCAAGAGGATCCGGTTTCAGGTTGCATACTCATCTGCGCAATTCCAATTCAAGTACGAGCAACGGATTTTGGTGGCCCTGCTTAAAATGGGACCCAGCATAATGCAATAGAAACTCGATCACTTAACAATAAAATAAAGAATTAAATGTAGGCTAACAACGTCCCTTCTTAATGGATCATAACATTATATCTAATCAGACAGTTAGGTCTATTCAACCGGTAAAATATGTTTACACCACTAGCGGCCGGCTCATCTAGATATGTATACAAGTTAAGGTAAGAGGAAACAAAAGTCTGTCTTTAACTGCCACACAATTACATAAATAAAGAAACAAAATCATCACTGAAAGTTAGATCACTCCTCCCAAACAACATAAGCAGAACGAAATTAGATGAACACATTTGCGTTCCATGCAGTGAAGGAACCTAGAGCAAAAGAGAAGTAGAACAAAATTGAATAACAGATTCATGGCTGGGCTTTTGTCAACCGAAGTATAAACACAGAAAATGAACAGATCGAAGATCATTAATCGAACCTATAAGAGTAAACCCTAACAAGAAGGGTAATGGAGAACGAACTAAGCTCTTCGTTTAGTGGTTTCAAACGGTACCTGTAAAGAGAGATCTGCGGCGGCCTCCCTGAAAGCGTAGAATATGGAGAGCAGGAGCTAGGGTTTTTGGCCTCGGAGGGTGAAATGGAGAAACCCCGGTTACCTATTATACAAGGATCTCTTCTGTAATTACGGAACTGCCCTCCTTTTTAGGTTTCGGCTTACCATTGCCGTTAAATATTGACGGAAGGGCTGAAATCTCAATTTTACCCTTCCGTTAAATATTTCCTTTTGGTCTCTTACTTTACCTCCGTACAACGAAGTCACCGTTGCCACCACTACGCCCCTTCTTCCCCTTCGTTTTGTCTCTCCGCCAACACACTTCTCTAACCCGTTCAAATCCTGCCTAAGAGAATCGAATGTTGCAAAAATAGATATGGAGATCTAAGGAAGGGAGGCACTTGAAGAAGAGCCAACACTGCCCATATATGCTTGGAGGGAGGTGGTGGTGGAAAAGGCTTCTTAAAAAACCTCATTGGCATAGAATTAGAGTTTGGTGCTGGAGATTTCTTATAGAGCAAATAATGAACAGTACCTGAGTCGTAAAGAGGAATTTTTTTTCCCTACATTTGCCTCTGCTTTTTGCTATTGCCGTTGTTGGTGGTGGTAATGCTTACTACTTTCTACTTTCTGCAAATTAGAGCTATGCTTGCTACTTCTGCCTTTTTTTATCATTTCCCCCATTAATAGAATTCTCAAAGAGCTTAGGGTTTTCCTGCAATCGCTCCTCTTCTCTATTGGCATAAAGATCAAGTCTTGGGGGGGTGGAGGGGTTTCGAAGTGCAGAGCCTCATTTCCCCTACCTAAACCCTAATCTAACACATCTCTCCCCAAATCAAATCATTTCAATCAAGGATCTCTATCTCTCTCTCTTGTACTCTCAACTTTTTTTCTCTTAGAGAGAGAGAAAGGGGGAAAGGGAGATTGTGAGAAAAGAGTAAAAAGAATGATGAGGAAGAGATCGAGGGTTAAGATCATGGAGAAGATAAGTGATCTCATCTAGGGTTTATAGAGATGGGAAAAAAAAAGAAAGAAAGAGAGTTTAGAGAACATCTCATCATGAGAGGATTTTTCCAACTCAGACATGGTCTTCACGATTTCTTCTCCACTATCGTCGATCTCTCCGGTGGCTCCATCTTCTATGGTTGCTATGAAAGCTATTGTTTTTCTTCTATCCTACACAAACAGACAGGGGGAAGAGAGGTCGGAGGAGGGTGTCTTGTTTTAGAAAGAGAAGAAGGAGAAAAGGAAGAAAAAGGGTGAAAGAGAGGGGAGAGAGAGAGAGAGAGAGAAGGAGGAATGGGTGCTGAACCTGCTGGTCGAGAGGAAGGGAACAAGGGTAATATTGGGTTTAAAAAAAATTAAATGTCACGTTGTGTCACATGCATATGGGTTTTGGCAAAATATTGTCATATATTAACAGTAAGGGTAGAGCAAGTCAATTGTCAAAAACAGTAAGGGTAGCGTTAGACAATAGTCAAATAGTAAGGGTATACTTAGTCAATTAACTAAACCATAAGGATAGTTTAAGAAATTTGCTCCCTCCCCTCCCCCCAAAAAAAAAAGAAAAAGAAAAAAAAATGTTGATCGGGCCGAGCCAAACAGCTGGGCGGTTTAGACCTTCAAGCTATTACTCAATTTGGATCCAACCTCAAACATGAAATTAGGGATCCTTTAATGATAGTTGAGGTAGCTAAAGTGAATGACTTATTATTTCGTTTTATTATTTTTTTTAATAGTGAGTGGTGTCATCATATAAGCATATTCATACTCTTGAAGGTGGGTTACTTTGGCTACTTTGAGCCATATTACATTAGATACTGTATCCATATAAAACACCTTATACAATTATACTTTTATCATCTACTAGTAAATATGTACGTGCATTTACATATGGCATTATCTCCAAGACAAAACTTTTTATAATTAATGGACAGTTTTTAAACAGTTATAAGTGGACAGTTTCTAAAATGAGAGTAAAGGACATATATGCCCTATTTATGCCCATTGTATGTTTAGACGAGGAGGATAAAAAACATCCAATGAAATTTCCAAAGAGAAGGGGAATTCGCTATTTTATAAGTAGTATAGATTTCTTCTTTGATTTTGATAAACCGTTCAGTCCAATCCACAAACTGTGTATGCTTAGTAATTTTGCACACCACCTTTTGAACATCCAGAAATAAAACATTTGATGGATGATTTCCTTTCATCTCGCATAAATCCTAAGTTTCACACTTATGGTCATCCTTTATCAAACTCCAAGCCGATGGCTTCCGCTATTTTGAAAAATTCTTCATAATCTGGGTTTCTACCTGATACAAATGGCACCCTCTACCAATGAATTTCTACCGTCATCTCTCAAAAGGGTCTTGATTTTGCCAATGATGTATTCATAGAGAAAACAATTGCATCCTTTACACCTCTTAGCTTGCCTCGAGTCTAAAAGACTACGAAAATCCCTTGGACAGTACCAAAGTATGAAGTATAAAAAAAGTTTTTACTTTGATGTTTTCTTTGAAAATCGTTTGGGTAAAATATTTTGTAAAGTATGTTTTTCAAAATAAAATAACCATTTTTTGCTTGGTAAAAGCATGTCTGTCCGTACTTCTGGTGATGGTTTTCGATGGTTTGGTGGCTGAGACCAGTGATGGTAGTGTAACTCCAGTAGCAGCGAATGGAAGTAGGGCTGAGAGTTGTATCAGAAAGTGGTCAAATGTGACCACCTGTTCGCATGAAAACAAAAGTACTATTTCACCAAAAGCACGAAGTATAAAAACCGACTTCATGTTTTTTGAGGTTTTTATACTTGTGAAGGAGCATTAAGTATAAAATACAAACACTATATCGTACTTTTGTACTTTCAAATGTATGAAAGTACTTTATAAAAGTCTACCCAAATAGGGCCTATCAAACATCACAAATCTATTGGGTCAATGTTTCTACATCAACCATAAAGCCCAGTGGCACATTATTGCATCGGGTGCAGGGCTGTAAATGGGTTTGGGTTGGACCCAATGACCTTAATTGATTGGGTCGATTATGGTTTATGGAATTTGAACCGATGGGTCATTTTTGGTTCTTGATATATTGTTATGGTTCTTATTGGGCCAAAATCGGTTCCATCCAATCCCGAGCTAATTCAGACTCAACCTGAGCTATATATATATAATTTAATATACAAATATATTAAATAAAATAATATTGTATATATAATATTTTCAATAGGTTTATTATAATTGGGTTCATAGGGTGAGATCCAATTGTCTCGATAACCAGTCATTTTGGTTATGGGTCTAAAATTAAAGACCTTGTTAGGTCTAATTTGGTTAGTTCTAGTTGAGGCCCGATCCAGACCCGACCTATTGGCAGTCCTAATCAGGTGACACCGCTGATTTAAGTATGAATTCATATTATTGTTTACTCTTTGTGGTAGTTGGCTCATCACTACTGTCATCAGATAAAGCTCTCTCTCTCTCTCTCTCTCTCTCTCTCTCTCTCTTATATCTCTTAAAGTGCTACAGGGGGTAGCCCATCCTCCAACCCAGGTGCAGGTAGGATTTGATCCTAAGTCTCTACTACATCCAACAGGATACCTTACCAACCTGCTAGTTGACATCTTACTTTATCAGATAAAGGTCACACCATTGTTTAGGATGCGTTTGGAATTGGTGTAAAAGTACACCGATGATGTTTTTACACTAAACCATGAAGAAGTGACTGTTGCACTTTTGAAAAGTGTGATGTGACTAGTATAAAGTTTTACATCGATTTTATCAATGTAGTATTTACATTGATTTTATCAGTGTAGTATTTACACCAATAATCGATGTAAAACTTTATGTTTGATGAGATTTTACATCGAATCACTACGTAAAACTACACTCCATCTAAACGCACGCAAAACTGAATTGGAGTGGAATTTTATGTCGATCATGACTACACACACCTTCAAAACATTGACAAAATTGAACCAACGTAAACTTTTACACCATTCTTGATTTTCACCGATTCCAAATGCATCCTTAGGTATACACCATCATTGGTGTGTTTTTGGATGAAGCAAAACGCTGCATATTCAAACCTTGCCGTTGTAGTGCTTAAGAATTTGTTTGCCTATTGTGGTGGCCATGGTGACTAATTCCAATTCGTATTAGCTGAGCACTTTGGCTGTTGAGCAGGCTGTTGAACAAATGATGGGGTTCAACGACAGTAATAAATTCATGGCCCCGCTATAAAAGGTGTGGGCCCCATGTATTTTATTGTTGGTGTGGAACCTTGTCATTGGTTCTACACCCTACTAAACATCCAAAGTGTTCAACTAAACCTTGCTTGACTAATTCACATATTTTGATTGCCAACATATCTGAACTTTCTCAGTGACGGATCTAGTTATTGTCTATTGGATAAACAATAGAGAAGACAAAAAATGTTAGACTAAGGTTATGGTATATTGTAACTCAAAGGGAATATACCCATCGTGAATTGCAGCCACACATCGCCGTCTTTCATTGTGAGGATAGGGTGTGGGTAGAGAAAATGAGCAAAAAAAAAACATGGACCAAATGGTTCATATAGTTCCAAAACAATTTACTATTTATTTTGGTAGAAATAGGAGAAGCTACACAAGACGGGGGGTAGCTCAGCCCCAAGCATCACAAAAACAAATAGAACTTAAATCTATAAGGATAGAGAGAGGGCAAAAACTGAGAGTGCTGAGAGGAAAAGAAAGAAGAGCTTGGTTTTCCATCCAATCCACAACTTGATTGGCCTCTATAAATATGGTTGTAGGTAACACCACATTCCAAATCTCCAGCCAATTTCAAACACTCATCAATGATGGTATTCGATATCCACGGGCAGTCCACTTTGTTCTTTAAACATGAAATCACAAGAAGAGAGTCTCACTCAATGAAGACGGGGAGACTCCTATAGTTAAAAGCAATATTGTGGGCCTCCCATTATTGTCATTATTTTATCGATATAATGTTATCAAGTGTGAAGTTCCAAATTCTTATACCATAAGCCAACTAAGGGGTAGTTAAGTTGGTACATTAGTTGGTTTATTCCAATAGAGATGTGGATCCTTCTACCACCGACTTTGGGAATGGGGGGTTTTTAGTGTGGTGCTGTGCTATTCAATGGCCCATATGGTATATTCACGGGTATCACCAAAAATACCAAAAGAATATTATATCATAAGCAATTATAGATGTCAAGTCTAATTGGTATACCAATTATCACAATTAATAATTGGTTTTGTTATGTATCTATTTTATAAAATTGATTATTCTGATTACCTTCTCCTGAACTAGACCTGATCAATTGCCAACTCTATCATTGAAGAAGTTGTAAGCTATTTACTTACTGAATTTGGAGTAGGATTGAAAGTACCGGCTAGAATGTTGGTAAAATCTCTAGCTGATTGTAAATTTGTTTTGGGAATTGATTATTCGCTTTTGCCCCGTAGGGGCTGTAATTCAATTCTCCTTGGCATAGTACCACATTTTTTTAGCAACATTAAAACTTTTCTCAAAGGTGGTGAGAACAGATGGTGGGGTTCGCTCATATGAGAATCAATACATACCGGCTAGTATGTATAGTACAAATACATACAATATAATACAAAATGCAAAGTTTTGCATTCTTTAATTAATACCCCATGAGAACTTGGGAGAGGATTTATAATTGTCAGAAAATTTGAAAATTCATTAAAGTTTTTATAATTTATCCTTTATTTTTATTAATTTAGATGATCAAGACTCAATGTTCTTGGAGGTAAGATGAGCTTCATGTGTGAGTGTACAAGTGTCTTTTTTTCAAGTGAAAGGTTACCAAATAGATAAAGATGGGCATGAGGACACCAAATGGGTAAATAAAAGGTGATTCCACTTTAACTAGCCCTCTTCACAATTGACAACACAATAGTGAATTAGGGTATAGTTTTGGAAATTCTAAAGGTTTATTGTTGGTCACAGTGGAGACTTGGGGTTGAGTCCCGTTGTGTAGCCCCTTCAAACGATATAAAAAAAGGGTAAATTACAGATGGGTACCCTGTACTCTGGGGGTAGTGAATAGATATCCTAAAATTTCAATTGCAACACTTGAGTACTTTGAACTCTAAAAAATACACAGTTGGATCCATCTATTAGTGTTCCATCAGTTAAATATTACATAATGTCAAATATACCCTTATTGTGTATATTTAAAATAAGTCTACAGAATAAAACTATCACTAAAGAATGCCATCGTTAGAAAATTTGAATATGTTATTTCCTATCCCATGTGAGAACGTCGGGAGACATTTAGTTACCTAAGAATGATACCAGAAATACACGATAAAAGTATTTTTGGCATCATATAATGTTTAATTAACAGATAGACCTATGTGTCTATTTTTTAAATATAAGGGTACTCAAAAAATAATTAAATTAATAAAATAAGTTACATGTATGCAATAAATAATAAAAATAATTTGAGCATGTAAAAAATTTTAATAATTAAAATATTTTTCAATGGTTTAAATATGTACAGATCGGGTTTGTCCAAGAACCCGCACCTTATCCGTACTTATACGAGTTTTAAATCTCAAAAACCCGTCTCCACACCCCAGATTCCGTTTGGTCGGGTGGAACTTGGAAGTTCCCTTCCCACCAGAAACATGCAATCAACACCAGCCCGTGTATCGAACGGTTTTCTTCGAGTAAAAAATAATCTCCGCTCTCCAAGCTTTTTGTCCTTTGCGCGAACGGGTTGTCGGTTTTTCTTCCGATTACCGTAACCACCACCAACGGGCGAAAGCGCGAAACTAAAACAAGTTTGCATCACAATCCCGCTCCATGTAAAAACCCCAAAGTGCCCACCCTCCCTTCCACGCATATGATGCATATCCCATAGGCCGGCCACAATCGGCCCATAGCTCTAAACCCTCGTTAAAACCCTCCTCTCTGAATCGCTCATCCCCAATTCCCTAACTTCCATTTCTACATATTCCCTTCCGAACCAAAAAACAACACACAGAAGATGGCTTCTCACAATAACAACTTCGACAGTTTACTCCTTCAAAGCCTGATGGGCAGATTGCAACTCCGATCTCCCTACCTCCACACAAACTCTTATCTCTCTCAAAGTTTAGAAGATTTATTGCTCGACAACAATTCCTTCAATGACGACGACGACGACGACGCCGATGAAGGCAAGACCCCGCTCGCCAAAGAGGAATCGAAGCTCGAAAAGGAAATCATCCGCATCATCCTCAGTGGCAAGACCGAAACCCTAAAGCCTAATTCCGGACAAGCCGTCACGATTGGCGACCACCACATCTGCGTTGGTTTCCATGAAGAGACGGGATCGGACTATCGTGTTTGGGAGTGGCACGGCCATATCATGTTGTTCGATGAGGAGAATGGCTATACGCCCGAGTATATATACGGGAATTACTTTGAAAGGGCGCCCTTGAAGCGGACTGCACACAGCAACAAGGAAGAGGAGAAGAAGGATAAGGATAACGATGCTGATAAGGAGGAGGACGAGGAGGGGGAGGAGGAGGAAAAATCTGGGACTTTGGGGCTGAGGGAATTGATTGACGGTGGAGATTCGGTCAGCGGTCGTATTCTTCGTCGGAATTTGAACACCGGATCTCCGAGGTAAGATTATATTGGCTTTTATTTATTTTTCTCATTTTCTAATATTTCCCGGTGACAATGCTTACTATTTCGTCATTAATTATTCAAGACGTTCAGCTTTGATCAGACATGATGCCAAGGTCTCGTACACGAGAAATATTTTGTGACATATTTTGATCAGACAATGCTTTAATCCTAACTTGCAGAGGTTTAAAATCAGACGTACTGCCAATATTTTCTGCTTATTTATTGTTGTATTTGAACCTGGATATTGGACATGCCCATGATAGTTACCTGCTGTTGAAATTGGATTTTCTTTATATGCATTCTGACTAAGTTCATAGTCTCCCTCTCTGGCACAGGGTAAGTTACAACTTAAAAAGAAAGCTACTATTATTGTCAGCATATATTATTGCGTTGCATAGAAGCATTTCATTTTTTTCTTTTCGCGTTAAGTCTACATGGAAAAATAGCTTTAGACGTTGACACACGTCTGATGCATTTCCATGTTTCCTTGGATGCCTTTTAACATTGATTTTCTTTAAATGCTAATTGATAATATGAGAATGGTATCTTATGATATGACGTGTTACATTTATCTTATGAAGACATGAGAAGCTCTATAATTATTTCTTAACTATTTCTGCCATCCCTGGCCCTTGCTATTTGCTGTTAGTGAGTTTTTATTTTTATGATATGATTAGGTTTATGATTATAACAAAGATTTACCATGTAAGCGCTCATTGTTACTATTCATTTTCTTTCTTCAATTTTTATAAGAACATTGGAGGCTTGTATGTTCTAGTATTAGCCAGAAGTCTTGACTTTGGTAGAAGCAGACTGATTCATAAGTGATAAAATCTTGGTAATGTTCTATGAATGATGAATCCATGGGCATGCACTCCATGGTCTGTATATTTTATGTTTATGGATTTGGTTGCCTAGGATGCCTGAGTTGAAAGATATTTTGATGTGTTATAAGTACGAGCTTAGTTCAACATAAGGATCAAATTACCATCAGAATTTTTTGAGATGCCAAGATGTCACTCTGATTAGGGTTACCAAAATGAAAGGTATGCATGATTCAATGAAGTAGGATTAGAGATAGGATAGAGAAAAAATGGGAAAAAGGAGAATACAAGTTGGGGTATGTGCAAACACTGTTTAAGAGAACATACTTGTTTTAGTGAGGTTTCAAACAGATTGGTAAAAACTTTGTTTCCTAGTTGGGAACCCAGTACAAACTCAAAATTTTAGTCCATGGACGAACCATGTAGCCAGTGAGAAAGATATCTGCAATTTTGTTGGTATTCATTTCTTTCTTTAGTAATTTCAGAAATTTCAGAGATATTATGCTGTGTTAGTGCTGCTGGTTGTTAACAGTGGCATCATATTGGTTTTCATCTTGCTGTATTTTACTATATGCAGAAATACCATAATGTGATGGCTATTAGTTCAACTGATCTCCATCATACTCACCATGCTGGAATTCTGTTGGTAAGCAAGAGACAAGAGTAAATCCCTTTGCAATTTGTAACCTTAAGACTGAGTCTTGTAAGCTCCAGACATGACTATCACTGCCATTTCAGTGTATCCCTGCTTCTGCTTATCTCGTTCTGATGTTGCTCCTCCCAGTCAATTTTGTGGATTCTGGGTATAGTGTTTTTTCTCTCATTTTTTACAAATGCCAAAACTTGCACCTGGTCACCATTGCAACCACCATCTTTTACAGGTTGTATAAAACAAAATCAGTATTTTCAATTTGTTGATATATGTGCCTCTTCAAAAGTCTTCTTAAAACCTTTTAACATTCTTCTACTTCTACAAAAGTGTGTTCATTTTGTTTGTATGAACTTGAACATTAATCTAAGTAGGACTGCAAAAAATCTGCTTATCCAATTCTGGACCTGATATGAACAAGTAAAGTTCTTTGAATGTAACCTGTTTATGAATTTGAATATGAATGCACACACACAAATTAGTATTTATCTATTAGTAAAGTTGGCTTGAATGCTGTATGTTTATAAAAGGAATCATAGGTTCAAGTCTAATACAAGTTATTTTCAAGTAATTTCATTCATGATATGTAATATTCTATTGTTTTAAATCAATAACCAAATCCAATCAGAGTCCAATCTAGATCCAATGGATAAGATTTGGTTTGATCTTTTTGCAGTCCTACATCTAAATCTACTATTTCCTTTCTGTACAATGGGTTGGTTAATCCAGCAGGAGGAGTGGCCTTCATGAACCAATCATTGTTTGCGTGTAAAAAAATTAATGTGGTAAAATAGGTAATCCTAGTATATCTGTATGAAATGAGTATTGATTAATTTATAGCCATGTTCTGCTCATTAAAAAAAGTTATGGTGGACTATCAGGTCCACTTGTCAGTGTTGATGTCAGGATAAGCATGTATGTTGACACTCAACTATGTGCGGAAATGTTAAAAGTGAGCTATCTATAGAGAGACCACATGGAAAGATACAGGAATACAGAAATACAGAAATACAGGATACAACTGTTTAAACAGTCTATCAGTTTAACAGGGATGCACCCACCCATTGGACAGTTCTCCTATTTAGTCCAATCTAATACCATATCCTTTTTCCTTGTTGGTAGCAAATGTCCAGTAACTTGTCATATAATAAGTTTCTTTTAAGATTCATGACTTGCTCCTCTTGGAAGGGTCTTCTGTGCCTCCATTTTGGTTCTTTCCAGCCACTAGTTAGGGAGCTGATATGGTTGAAGAAGCATGAGTGCCAAACCTTCTCTTAAGAGCTCTTCTTTTTTATCCCCTTGAAGGAGCAAAAAGAACATTCTTAATTCCTAATAATGACGCCTACCAAATACCAATCTTATTCATGCTGTGTTATAGTTATTTTATATAATGAGCTTTCTGACAGCTTGTTTTTGTATGTGGTTTTATTCCATTGATGCCTTTTAAGTTCTACAAAATTACCTAGACAGGGCACTTTTCTAGTATCTATTGGCTGATAACTCATCACCTTCCTTTTGTACTCTTTCTTTTTTCTTTAATGAATTTTCTTTTTTACTTTTCAAAAAAAACCTAGACAGTGTAATATGGCCTCAAAAAGGAAGGTTATCTATAGTTTCTATACAAGAATATGTATGCCTTTCTTGATGGTCTGCCACATAAAAGGGCAGCATAGAGAATAATTTAAAGAAATATAGCATAGGAAGAGACAGGGGAAGTGGTAAATCCTCATGTTCTGTCCATTATGCATGTGATAGAGAATAATTTAAAGAAATATATCATAGAAGAGTCAGAGGAAGTGGTAAATCCTTAGGTTCCATCCATTATGCATGGCCAATCTGGTTTTACCACTGATATGAGGAGTCAAACCTCCCAAATGTCAGGAGAGACAAAATTCTTTCTCTGAACTTGAAAAAGAAAAATAGCAATTTATGGAAAAAAATACAAGAAGTAGGAAAGGGAAAAAAAGTACTGAGAGTGCATTGGATATTAGCTATCTTCAATTATTTCATCCTCCAAATGGGCCAGATTGGGTGGATACTGTTCATGGACTCAGTTTGGTACTTCCATGGCAATGGTTTTCTGGAATGGCACCACCAAATGTGCAAACTTGCCTCCAGACTGCTTAAATAACAAAATCTTTTTTTTTCCTGTTTATGTTATTTAAGAGGAAGAATCTGGATACATAAAAATTTTGATAAAGTTGGTATGACCTGAATACTTTTTGTAAATCCTACAGCACCTCTATGTATTAAATATCATCCTTAGAAGCAGGGATGCTTTGTGTCTTTTCACTAGGGATGCTCCATGATTAAAAATGAGATATGACCAATCCAGTGTTCTTATTTTAAATAGGCACGCTTGTCCCTTCAGGTTTGGAGATTAGTTTTTACTAGACCAGCCATGCTTCCTTAAGTTTATTTTGACATATTCCTTTTACCTTTATGTGTGCAAGTTTTCAAGCCTCATGCACTTAGCTTCATCATCATTATCATCATTGCTATTAAATCTATTTTGTAATATAAAACGAAGAGCAAGAGGCACAAGCTTTCCAATATATAGCAATTCATTATGTTGTGCTCTTGTACACCTGCATGTTTTTTAAGGAAACGGTAACTTTCAATAGATTAATTGGAATAAGAATTAAACAGGTTCAGCCCCTAGATTAGGGAACCTGAAACCTAAGTTTTTTTTTTTTTTTGAGAGAAGATAGCTGAAATCATTAAGTAGTCAAAAACGGGGGGGGGGGTGTACATGAGAGGATGTACAAGCCTTTTAAGCACAACAAAAGCAAAGAGACAGCCCTCAAGGAAGGCAGCATATTGGAGCTATACAAAAAATCCCTTCCCAGCCCAGATTTAGCTAAATTATCAGCCACATGATTTAATTCTCTAGGAATTCATCTAAAACTGCAGTGTAAATAAGAGGCAAGCTCCCTGATTTCTAACAACAGATGGGATAGCTTCCACGGGTCTCGAATCTGTCCTGATGCCCAGTTAATAACATTTTTCGAATCACCTTCCACTGCAATGCAGCTGAGCTTCTGTGATTTGGCAATTCTGAAGCCTTCCAAGAGGGCCCTTGCCTCTGCATCAGATGCATCTTCTGCCTTGGCTGGGCCGCCATAGGCCCAAATCAAATCTCCATTTGCTCTTCGAATCAGACCTCCAATTCCATCCTTTGATCTGTCCTCAGTGGCTCTCCTAAAACTGCCATCTAAGTTTAGAAGAAATTTACCGTCTTGTCTTGGGGTGATTATAAGAGGAGGTTGAGGGGGAAAAGGAGAGGTTGTTAGTAGAGCAGGGAAGTTACTATGTATGCCATTCCGACTGATACCCTCGAAGATTTTTCTATTCACCATCCAGCTGCTAATGTTGGCTAGAATGCGATCTTGAAGAACCTCCAAGGAGGAGTAGCTCTCCCAAATAATCTCCTATTTCTTTCTTCCCAGATATTCCACATGACAGCATGAACAATTGCTTTCCAGAAACAGCTTCCTCTCTTGCCCAAAATCATCTTTAGCCCTTGCCAAGAATTGATAAACACTATAACAGAATTAGGGGGAGTCAACTGACCTTGCCTCCAGCGAGGAATCTAGAAAGAACTTCCAAAGATTTCTGGCCACCACACAATTAAAAAATAGGTGACTGATAGATTCACCATCCTTGTAGCACATCAAACAGATATTAGGAGAGACAAAACGATGACCTTGAAACTTCTTTTGGAGATTGTCACAAGCATTCAGCTTTGAGCAAGAAACCTTGAGGGGTTAAATCTTTTTGCTCGGAAAAGGAGAGGGGGTGGGTTTGTGGGTAGGTGTTGAAAGAAAGAAGAGGTTGAGGGTGCATTTTCATAAAAAAAATGAAAGAAAGAAGAGGTAGTGAAGGAGCCTTGAGGGGTTAAAGACCAAATAAGCTTGTCTTCAGTGGAGTGAGAGACTGAGAGCAAGGAGAGTAAGGAGGTGATTTCCGAAAGTTCAGAATCTCTTAGCTCTTTGCGAAAATTGAGGTTAAAGAAAGACTTTCTGAATCTCTTTATCAAGGTTCCAGAAATTAGAGCATGCTTATCACGCACTAGCCTAAAGAGAGAGGGAAAGGCTTCACAGAAGGGAGTGCTTCCCCACCAAAGGTCTGTCCAGAATTTAATAGTATTTCCTTTTCCGACTTTCAATCTAATAAGGGGAGAGAAGGAATCAAAAGGATGAAGGGTACCTTTCCAAGGATTTCATGAGGAATGAGTCGGTAAAGGGAGAGAGTTGCCCCATCCCCAACTGCTTCTGCCATATTTGCTGCAGATTACAGAGGCCCATAGAGAGTTTTGTTCTGTTTTGAATCTCCAAAGCCACTTCCCCAAGAGAGCCTGATTTCTTTCGGAGATGTGACCCAACCCTATCCCACCATCTTTCTTGGCCTTACACACCGTTTTCCAGTTTACAAGGTGGCAGCCCTTCTCTCCTCCCTCCCAAAGGAAGTCCCTTTCGATTTTTTTCCAATCTATTTCTGATCTTTACTGGAAGCCTGGAACTTTAAAGAAGGAGATGAAATAGATAGGGAGATTTGGGAGAGTAGCTTTACTGAGGGTTAGTCTACCGCCAAGGCCGACTAAACCTAAGATGGATTTTGCTATTATAATTCATCTGAAACCTAAATAATTCATCCCTGTTTATCCCTCAATTGGCTAACGACTGCCAAACCATTAGCTGATCTTGTAACTCATCTAACATGTACCCATTTTCTCCTGAAAGACATCTAGCCACTCTATCAGCAACTTCGAGCCCCCCTCCACTTCAATATGTTGAAGGAGGGCCCATACTTTTAGCTCTTAGAGAATCACCCACTCATAGTTGTCAAGGCGAAGCCTAGGCAAGTGCTTAGGTGATAAGGTGCTCATGGAGGGCCACCATGCTTAATCACCAAGATATTTTTTTTACACAGCTCTTTGATACTTTTATATTCATAACATTTTGAGATTACAATAATAAAATAGACTTTATTAAATTAAATTATTTAGTTTAAGTTAAAATACTGGTTTCCTTTTATCATTTTTCTCATCTGTTAAGGTTCAATCAACATGTATATTGCTTTTAACCTCAAAGACTTGAAAACTGGAACTGATAAGCATGGAAGAACTCAAATTTTTATCCAATCAAAACATATTGATTATTTTCATCATCATCATTTTCTTCTTTTCCTAGGACAAAAATAGAGTCTCAGTCCCTCTATTCTGTAAAATTTCTTTCACAATTAAGATGTGGGGCAATGGCTACACATAGTCACACCACTTTCTTTTGACCCTCCAATAAAACACGGCATGCTATCAACCAAATCACCTATTGAGTACTCTTCTGAGTGGTTTGGTTTCAATATGTTCACATGATCACAACACTTGTGATCCTCTAATAAAATGTAGGCATGCTATTAATCAGATGAAAAACCAAATTATCTAGTGAGTGCATCCTGGTATTGCTACTCAAATGTCACATTAACAATCCACTATCATATGAAAAATAGAGTTTGCCGCTAGGGTCTACTATCTTACAATTCAAAAATATCAAGGTAGCCTAACATGTTGAGTGGTTAATTTAGACGACTATGGCACCCAGTGAGTATATGCCTTAGTGATTTGGTTTCAATGAGTTACATAAATCCCCAATACAACTCTTTTTACTCTCTCTCGTGTACACACACCACTTAACATACACATTAATGTCAGAGAGTTGATGCTTGCAATTATGCTGTGTATTCTGTTTTCCTGCCAAACAGTTAATTCATGTTCACAGCCTTGGCTCTTCTTCTTTCCTTAAATTCCAGGTTTTAGGTGGGGACACGGATTCTGGAGGCTGGCATGGGTTGGACAGCTAAGAAGCCTTGTTATGCATTCATATATACCTTCAGTATTTGAAGATTTGTGATTGATTCGGTGATTCATATGTGCTTTTTAGTTGTACCTCTCCGATATGGCTCCCGAGGTAGGATTTTACCCACCATCATCTGATAAGTATAAACTTCAAATATGAATTGTCGTTGCAATTGCAGAACCACCTGTACTATCTCTTATTCAGGACAGATGGAAGGAAAAGGAAATGAAAAAAAAGGGGAAGAGAATTTAAAATATTGTGCTTGGCAATGGTATCCCAATATGCCTTATTAATTTTTTGGTGAATCTTCAATTTAAATGTATAGTCCTTGTCTGAAATTGTGCAAACTGGTTGGTATATGATGGGGGTAGGAATTTAGATTTTCAGCCGTTTTCTCTTTTAATAAAATCGCAGGATGATTTATTGGTTAATGGTTAGTAACGGTGTGGGCGAGGTTCACTCCCCGGCTGTTATGCAATTAGTCGACTGTTTATGCATATTGCTTCTCTTTTAGGTTAAGAAAAGGCCTTGTTATGTTGATTTCTATCAACTAGAAGATGTTCTCTACTTCTCTTTTTTAGTATCGAGATCTGTAAAATAGGTTGTAGGTTAGCTTCCATATTAGCTCGTTTGCAACGTCAAACTGAGGTTGCTGTTGGTTTCTAAATGCTAACTTTTTAGCATTTATTTTATTCTGATAATGAATGCTGTCTGTATTTTTCCACGGCTTTAAAGGATCATAAACTGGAATAGACCATGGAGATCTAAGACAGACCTTTGAGCAACCAAAGCTTGGTCCAATTAGGGGTGAGCAAACGGTTTATTCAGTTAAAAAACGAACTGAAATTTTAAATGGAAAACCAAAATGAAACTGAAATATTGAAAAACCAAAATAACTGAAACTGAAATTTTTGGTTTGGTTTTCAGTTATTTCAGTTAAAATTCAATTTCAATTATATATATATAAGAGAGAGAGAGAGAATAATGTTCGGTTGATTTGGTTTTTTTGGTTAATCGAATTCCCAAACCTGAAAATAGAAACTGAAATATTGTAAAATTGAAAAATTAAACCAAAATAACAAAAAACTGAACCGGAAAAACCCAATGCAAGTTGTAAAAGCTTTTTCAAAGGGTGTTGCACTGACTGAAGCTGAACTCTTGCATCCCTATATTGCATAATATTGGTTGTGTTGGATTCTTATTTGGCAGAAATGCAAATAAGATAGATGAATGGAAAAACTAGAAAGGATAAGATTATGGTTGTGTTGGAATCTTATTTGGCAAAAATGCAAATAATATAGATGAGTGGAAAAACTAGAAAGGATAAGATTATGTATGTATTCATCTGTAGGAACCTAGGAATAGATCCTATTTTGCTTACTTTCACTGAATTACAATTCAAGGGGTACTATTTAGCCTTAAAAAGACCAAATAACCAAGGGTTAAAATTTCACAATGCATAGACCTGTATCAGCCAATTTGTATCGTATTTGTGGGCTTTCCATATGCCAAATGCTCCAAAGTTTTTAGGGTTTGATCCCTTCAGGATCTTTGAAACAGACAACATACATATATATATATATATAGGATCGTATCAATGTTCGGAACCTTGTGAATACCTTGTTCATACCAACGTAGATTGACCATTTGGTGGCCATGTGATGCATTCAAATAAAAATATATCAAGCTATCAAAGCATTAATCCTGACTTTTGACAAAAAAATTGTTGATTTGGTAAAAAAAATCATTTGACACATAGGCCATAACTTTTTTATATTGGGGTGATTTTTATATTGATAGGGTAACTTTTGATATCTGTGTTGCAAGGTAATTCATTATTTTTGCCAAAAAAAAAACATTTTAGCCTCAAAATCAATTTGTTCGACATGGACGGTTGAACTGGTGATCCATGACCCGAAGGTAAAAATGGCTCAGCCATAGTTAGATTTTAATATATTGGAAAAAAGGAGTATGCTTGGACCAATTAATGATGATAATTAAAATATAGATTTCAAATTATTCATAAGTTCATAATAATGGTTGAAAAACTAAAATGAAGGTATAGAAAAATGGATAAAATTGCAATTAACTAAAATTAAATAGAGATGATATGTTTTAGATCAATTTCATCTCGTAAAACTTCTTAATCCAAATCATCCGGTCACCTTCTCTTGGGGGTGATCATGGTTGGGTCGGACCTAGCCTGGGCTTAGCAGTTATGAACAGAGGCATAGCCTAGGGAAAAAAACAAGAGGCATAAAATATTAAGGGTTAATCCCTTAAACCTCCATCAGTTTTCTGAAAAGCTCTTAAGTCTCCCCTCAACCTGGGCATACCCTTAAACCTTTCGACTTTTAGGGGTAAAAGTACTTATATACCCTTTCTGTTACTTTATCGTTAAAAATCTAACAGCATGTCAGCAACTAATGATTTCATTGTTTTAAACTTTAAACATATTATAATGCCAAACTTCTGCCCTTTTGTAAAATCATCCAATGTTTGATGATTGAAATGCCCTTAAACACATATATTAAAATATCCTTTAGCCCATATATTGAAATACCCTTAAACACATTTATCGAAATACCCTTTAACCCCCCAAAACCCTTAAATATTTAACTAAATAAACTAAATTAAAATATCCTTGCACCTTTTTTTACTCAAACACATATATTATATAAACAACTTAAGGGTAAAATCAGAATTAGAAAAAACCTACTAGGAGGAATTAGTATGGGTCTGTAAGTTCCTTTATTCCCAAATGTCAAGGAAAGTTTTAAGGGTATGTCAAAGTTTTAGGGGAGGTTTAAGGCTTTTTCAAAAAATCTAGGGGGTTTAAGGGAGGGGTTTAACCATTATTACGGTTAACAAAATTAAATAGGGGATAATCATTCGGTCAATTTCAACTCATAAAACTTCTTAATCTAAATCATTCGGTCACCTTCTCTTAGGCTATGTTTGGCTTGAAAGAAAAGGTAGGGAAAGGAAGGGAAACCTATACAAAGTTTGTAAAGGTTTTCCTATCTTTTCCTTCATTTTCTTACTTTTTCCTTCAAACCAAACAAAGTGTTAGGGTTGATCACAGATTGGGAAAATATATAACATTTTATATATGCGAAAATATATGTTATCAGAAAGACATGATACTTGGACTTTAATACCACCTGATCTACCACTTTTATGATACCCATTTATTGGTTATAAGTTTATAAGTTTATTTGGTATGTTCCTACCCATTTGGAGAACATTCACCTTACCAAAACCATTTTATGCACCAATTTTAGGGTTTAAGGGTTTGGGGTTGGGGTTTAGGAATTTAGGGTTTAAGGTTTAGATTTGAAAATCAAGAGGTGGTTGGACTAAGTTGACTAACATAGGATCCAATTATTGCTTGGAAATTGTGGTTTGGGTAGGAGTGCTGGTTGGGTGGGTTGGGTTGGATTTAAGTTCAATTTAGGTCCAACCTGGGCCTAAGGTCTGAGCCCAAACCAAGCTCAAAGTCAAGTCCGTTCAAGATTGAGGACACACAGTTAGCAGAGTTGTCTGGGGTAACATTCTTCAAAATTCAACAACATACTTTTTGTTCTTCACAACATATTTATGGAAACAAGATATATGTTAGGTGGCTCTTTACCATTTTACCTCCTTTTGAAGATTGGCATTCTTGTCTTTGATCAATGCATAAAAAATTACAAATAGAAAATAAGGATGGAAGCTTTTAAATATGAGAGGAAAATAGATAACACCTTTTACATAATGAAATCCATACTAGTAGGCCTAGGCAAGTTAGTCCAGCATTGGACAACTAGAATATGAGTGCATAAATTGTTTCTTACAGGAAAGCTCCTCGGACAGACCTCCCTGATCAATTTTGACTATAGAAGACATGAATTCATTAGCTTTGGCAGCGTCTCCAAACTGTGGAAAACCAGTTTTTGAGGTTCTTTTAACAGGGGCTGAATTAGAAACTTTGGCTGATTCCGATTCCAGCTTTTAGTTGAATAGGAATTCCGATTCCTGACTGAACCAAACAGATTCCAAGAATGGAGCATTCCGATTCCGATTCCGATTCCGATTCCGATTCCAGCTGCAAACCAAACGGACCCTTAGATATTATCTATTATTTATAAAATTATTTAAAAATATTCTATGATACTTTGAATCTAGGACTATTTAGTAAACATACAACATTCAAAGCCAGCTATAAGTAAATGGATCCAATTCATCATATGGGAACTGGGACAATAACTGTGTTTACAGCCTCCCACTGTTCTTATATCTTAAGAAAGGAATCTTGATTTCCTAATTAAAAGTACAGGCGAGGAAGAAAATCTCTCTCTCTCTCTCTCTCTTAATTAATAATATCTCCATTTTCTTTGTTTCTCAATTAACAAAGAGACTAATAGTAGATAAGAAAATGCGTGGAGAGAATTCTTAGTTTACTAATTTATTTGAAATTTATAAAATAAAATTTAGTTAGTGTTTAATTTGATATTGAGTGAAAACTGGAAATGGGAAGGATGAAAGCGAAATCAAACGGACGAGTTTCTAGTAATGCAAAGACCACCAAGTATGAAATAAGAATAGCCGCCTTTCTCTTACACTTTTACTTCATCTGCTCACAACGCCGTTCCATTTCCATCTTGTTGCATTCAATGACCTCGTGAACAGAAAGCTCCTCAGAACAGAAATGAGTCATTCATGCACTCAAACTGCGATCAATAAGCTTAACTGCTTAAGAAAGAAAGAGCATCGATCTCTTGCTGGTTACTGCAACCCAATCACCCCATCCCGGCATTAGCTGAGCTGGAGAGTGAGAGTAGCTTTCTTCATCTCTTCTCTTCTTCCCTACAGAGCAGAGGTTAAAGGGAGAGAAGTTAGATGAACAATGTTGGAGCTTTCTCGAGTATATACAGGCTTTTATCGCGGTAGGGTTCGGAAAGCTAGCCGCTCTACATTCCTTTTATTTTCTTCCCCAAACTTCATCAATTTGATTATTACTATTTTTATTATTTCTGGATTCGACTCGAAGGAAATTTTACGTCAAACGTTTTTGTTTATACGTAATTCTATTAATTTCTTCTTTTATTCTTCCCAAATCGCTTATTGTCGAATCCAGTGCACACAACGTCCTATTTGTTTTATGCTTTATGCACGTCGAGTGATACAAGAAACAGTGCTCCTGTCGTCCTAAGCTAGTGCTGTAGTGCCTAGCTATAATCTCTGATCCCGCGGCCTTTTTGTTTTCGAATTCGGTTCCTTAAATTCGACTTGCTGATATTTATGGTTCTTGGTTTGAACAGTAGTAACCTTGTGTTCTCTCTATGTCTGAGAATTTTAATTTATATAGTAGAAGTTTTATCTTCATTGTATGCATGCAGGAGACTGAAAACAGAGAAGCCACAATCACAAAGACAGTCTCAAGTTTTTTTCGTGAATGAGATAACGCCATTTTTCCATTCTTCTCTTCACACCTTTGCAGCTTCGGTATTTTAAAACCCTAATATCAAAGTTCTTTTTGTAACTATAAACTACCTTTAAGTTGCGCTTTATTTTTTATTTTTATATGTAGTAAGTAGGTTTAGCAACGAGTCGACGAACTCCAGATGCCATCCACCTCCAACGTCTCGATGCAGCGCGGTAGATTGTATGTGATTTCTCTCAATACGTTTAAGCTTCTCTTCCGTGTGATTTGATTTCTGAAACATATGTTGTTATTATTTTATTTATCATTATTAATGCAAGTTGAGTTATTCGCTCTTTACACTTGCCAATCATTCCGGGTCGCACAATTAAGTAATGAGGTGGCCCACAAAAGAGCATTTAGATTAAATCGGGTATCCTCGATCCCATGACCCATCCACCGTAGGATCAGATGAAGTATTGATAGACTCTACTCTAGGCAGCAACCTCTACATGGGACGAGGGTGTTGACCATTGAAGATAAAAAGAAAACTAATTTGACCGATTCTTATTATTATTAATGCTTCTTGTTAACACGAGTTTCTGTGATGCAGCAGTAGATCTTTTGCAGATTCGCAGGTCTCCAACGATCATCATTTTGGATGCTTCGATCCACTTTCAACGATAGAGATGCCCCAGACCCCTAATGATAGCAGCAGTATCAGCAGCTACCTCCCAGGTTGATCTGAAGAATCAAGAATAATCCCTCCCTAAATTTGAAATCTTGATGATGAGAATCCAATTCCGATCTCCATATGATTTTGGCTTTTGTCCATGTGATCATGAACATGATAAATGAAATGCATTTATCTGATCTATTACGCATTTATTATTTTTTCTTCTTTTCTTGTTCTTGTTTCCATTTAAGAGCAGTTTTTCTGAGCACTACCGCTTCCCTGCACGAGAATACCACCTCTCAACAGAGGCTTCCGGTTTCATACACTGAATTGGTAAGTTATTCCTCTCCCTGATCTTGCAAGTAATTAAAGCTTAGCAAAGAAAGAAAATTCCATCTGAATTCACCATTCCTCTAACTTTTAAAGGGAAATTGACAAAACTGTCGCCTCCTCCTGCTGTTGCTGCCGCTGCTGTGAAAACTGCACTGTTCATACTGATATGGTTTATTCCCTACTCTGTCACAGAATTTTCATCAAGAGCTCGTACCGAACGAGAGAAAACGGACTCTTACGGTCGGTGGAGGAATCAACAACAACAGCGCAGCTGAGAAAGATGTCAAGAGAAAGAAGGCCGTGTGCCTGGAGTACCCGCAACATCGCAATTATCAAACTCCTGAAGAACTACTACGATCAGATACTCAACAACAAGTATGTAAATAAAAAAATTTATTTTCTTTTCTTTTTTTTTTTCATACGTTGAGTCCAAATTACAAAGTACTTATTTAACTGTTTTGTCATTTACAAACTCTCTCTTCTCCCGGCCGTGAGCAGCTGCCAGCAGTGAGGAGGACCCAAAAGCTAGGAGACAGAGTAACAGCTCTTCAAAAGCTGGTTTCTCCCTTTGGCAAGGTGTATACCAATGAAAACCATCTTATGTTTGACTTTTCTTATTTTACTTTCCGGGAAGAGCAAATATTCGGTTTCACATTTTAGTAACTACATGTGGAATTTGTTGGTTGGTTGCAGACGGACACCGCTTCAGTGCTTCAAGAGGCCTCTGTTTACATCAAGCTCTTGCATGAACAGATTTATGTATGACATCACATCTACTGATATGCCTCTGTTTATTTCCAACTCCTACCTTTCTCCAGTTAACTTCCACTGTTTACTAGAAACTCCCTCATCGCTTCAAAAGAGGGAAACTTCAGCTTAATAATGTTCATTGATCTGATTGGCAATATGAGTATGACGTATGTTCTTTTGTTTCAGACGTTAACTATCCCATACTTCAGCGCCGGACCTCTTCTTCCCCAGGTAAGAATTAGATCACGTGCATCAACCAAATAACAATTAGAACTCTGTATTTTAGGTTTAGTGTCACTTTTATCTTCAAACTTTAAAATACAATAATTCAGTATCGGAATTTTCAAAATTTACTAATTTAATACTTGTCGTTAATCAGTCTTTAACTAATATTTAAAAAGATACAAATGGCATTCAAGTATTATCTAATTTCTTTATCAATTATCCAAATATTGATAAAATATAAATAATCTAGGTAACCTCAATTTTCTTGAATAGAAAAGACAAGGACTTGGGATTGTTCATTCTTTGTTAACGTTTGGATGATTGATAAAAAGAATTAGATGACACTCAACCCATTTGTATCTTTTTAAATGTCACTTAACAGCTGTTTAACAGAATTATTAACGATAAATATTAAATTAACACTTTTTGAAAGTTGAGATATTAAATTATCTATTTTAAAATTCCAGGACCAAAGTGACACTAGCCTTGAATCAGAGGATATTTAATGGGAATTTTCCAAAACACACACACAATGATACCCAAAAGTATCTTATAACCAATCAATAATCAATGAGTCATCAGACAGGGAGACACAGAAGGGTTGGTTGGTCAAATATCTGCTCGCATCATACAGCTATTTTCTGGTGCATGTACATGTATTGGCAGACCAACTGCAATGGCTGTTCACCGGCTGTAAAACCAGTGGTAACACGTACTCTGCACCAGTCATGAAATACATGCGGCCCACAAACTGTTTCACAGAGTCGTGTATCAATCACTGGTATATGATACTATCATTGGTTTCACAGCCACGTCTAATCCTAATTACAATTGCACACAAGCTTGGATTTTTTATCGGACTTGCTCTAATACTTTGGGTTTGGCTCAAATCTAACTCAAATCAGGCTATTTTACAATAGATTCATTGACAAATCCAAGCCCAAATCCAATCCTGATACATTAAATTTTAATGCAAATTAGGCCATATTAAAAAAAAAAAAATCAAACTTGACCTTGGATTCAGGTCTTAGGCCCAAATCTTAAGATTGGGCCTAGGTTGACAAATACCCGGCCCATCTGCCTGACTTGCATCCCTAGACCTAATGGTATTAATATTCATCATCTCATAGTTATATAAAGTGACGAAAACACCCTTCAGTAACAACTGTATTATTCTCTGGCAACCGAGCATGCTTTGATCATTTCAATTCAGAATTGGCATGCTCATCTTGTCTAAAAATGGAACTGAATTCATATATTAATTATTAAAAAACTGTCATAACTCATAAAAAACTTGAAATTAATCTGATTGAGTTCAAGTAGTGTTACTGTCGGCAAAACCATCTATCAATTGCACAAAGCTAAAAGCTTCCATAAAAACTCCTTTCTCACCCTGTCTCTCCTTTTTTTTTTCCCCTTAATTTGTTTATTTTCCATTTAGGGCTTTGAAGAAAAGAAAGGGGACCTGCGCAGCAAAGGACTTTGCCTTGTTCCTGTCTCATTTACTCAGAATCTGAATAAAGAAGGCAGTGTTGGTCAATCTATTTCGAGGAGAACCTGCCTGCATTTCCCATAGGCATTAATACCCAAATACAAGCACCTATTGAGTATTGACAGAAAGCATCTCTCAAATCGGCTTTTATCATATTCAACCCCCACCCCCAAAAAATAAAAAATCTGTAATACCTTTTTTATATTTACACAATTTGATCAAATTGTTACTTTTAATAAGCACTGTTTTATATGGTTTTTTTTAAAGAAGACTGTTTTATATGTTTTTTTTTTTTTTTTTTATAGAGGACTGTTTTATATGGTTCTAAATTGTAGAGAAGACTAGCTAAAAATGAATAGGAGTAAGTTTCCTTTTATCCTTAATGATGAGGGGTAATTTGGTCCTCTTAATGATCTGTGACACATAGCCTTTGAGTAATATCTTGGTACTGAGTAAACAAACTAGCTTGGCAAGTTAATCTGAAACACCTTGCTTAAGCCGACCTCCACTTCGGCCAAGACAAACTAATAGGCTCCTCATTCATGGCAACCTGCCTCAGAGACTAACCGAGCTATAGGAGTCAACGGCGACCTATGAGGAGAACACGCTGATTTGGACCGACAATATGCTATCAGCCCGAGATCTCCGGAGCATGTATACCTCGATCTTTAGACCAGCCTACCGCATCGCACACCTCAGATTTATTCGGGCAGTTCGTAACCTCCACACAGATCCTGTAACTAGTGTGTTAATGCGCCCAACTAAGCGAAAACGGTTCCACAAAATGGTGAGACCCGTTGTAAATGGGCTTTGACCATCGAAACCTATATAAAGCACTTGTTTCTACTTGAGAAGATAAATGCAATAATACACTTTCAAGCTCTTTCATTCTCTCAAGAATTCTCTAAACACTTATTGACTTAAGCATCGGAGTGCCCTCCCTGAATAAAAGACAACCTAGGCACTCTAATATTCTCTCTTGCAAAACCACATCAGCTTGGCCTTGACGAGTAACTTTCCGAATTAGAGTTCATATCACTTGACACGAGGGAACAGCCATATTGCACAACATCACTTAATTATTTGGGTTTACTCGGGAAGTGTGTTTGGGTTGAATTGCTTCAACCAATTATTTGAGACCTCCATGAAAATAAAATTAAAAAAAAAACAACCTATTTTGCACCAACTGCATACAGCTTAAATGTTGTGCCCAACCCATTCCTCCTCTATTGGTATAAAAAGAAAATGAGAAATTTCTTAAATTATCTTTATGATTTAATTAATTGATTAAATATATCTTTATTGTATTATTTTAAAGTATTCTTAAGTTTTTTTACAATTGTCTGAAACTTCTCTTATGTTAATTTTCTGTCACATATGATATCAAAGTAACTGATATATTTTTAAAAAATTTTTAAAGTATTCTTTTTGCCTCTGTTCCTAAAATACCATTCATAAAATCTATTTGTTCCTATTTTCAGGTCTCTGTCTCGTCTCTATATCTATAACAGTAGGTGGAGGACACCGCTGCATACAACCACCCTGAATAAAAACAAGGGTAAATTTCTAAAGTATTGTTTTGCTAATTGACTACGTGTATTTTTACTGTTTAAAAATTGACTGTCACTATCCTACTGTGTCAACGAAAATATTAAAAAGAATATTTTACCCTACATTTTTCTTTAAATTTTCAAAAAGTGTATCTCTCCCTTTCCTGTCCGTTCTCTTCTTCGGAACTGCCAAAACCACCGGAACTGCAGATTTCTCCCTTTCCCTTTCGTTTTCTTCTCCGAAACCGTTAGAACCGCCAGAAATGTAGATTTTTCAATTCTCTCCACTTCCCTATCGTTCTCTTCGTGGAACTACAAGAACTGCCGAATCTGTAGATCTCCCAGCTCTCTTCTTGGTTCCAACGAAGCCAATGACGGAGAAATATTGGTTGTTCTTAGCGGTTCCGGCAAAATCGGTGACGGAGAAATATTAGTTGTTCTTGGCGGTTTCGGCGAAGCCAGTTTCTCTGTTTTCAGATTTCTCTGTTATCAATTCATTTGTTCACTCCATTTCAGATTTCTTTTAAAACCCATTAAAAGACGATCTCCTGTTTCAAATCTATAAAAACCTCAAGCACCGTTTCAGATTTCTTTTAAAACCCTTTAAGAGACGATTTCCCGTTTCAGATTTCTTCGTTATCGTTCATCTGTTCACTCGATTAGACCTTGGATGCTATTGGCGGTTCCGCCGAAGCCAAGGAGGATCTCCCATTAGATTTTTAAAACCCTTTAAAAGACTAATATTGGGTAGATTATACCTCTCAACAATTAACCGAAACCCATTAGATCTTTTAAAACGAGGGAGGGGGTACTACATAACCAGCATGCTGGTTAAGATCGCCGGAACTGATATCAAAATCTTGCTCCTGGGTCTTCGTTTGAAACAGATATGCTRGTTAAGATCGCCRGAACTGATATCGAAATCTTGCTCCTGGGTTTTCGTTTGAAACAGATATGCTGCTTAAGATTGCCGGAACTGATATCGAAATCTTGCTCCTAGTTTTCGTTTGAAAAAAGATAAAGTAATGAAGAAGAAAGCCTTTGAGGATGTTGGATCTTAAATCTATTCTACACACAGCTATGTCGGAAGCCTTTGTGTCTCAGAATGTCGGAATTATTGGACGAAGATAAGAAAGACTCGCCAGAGTCACGGCTTGAAAGTCTTTATCCGAATCTGTACCTGTACTGATCTGTATAGAAAGTTTCTTTCTTTCTGGATTAGAAACTTTGTTTTAGAAAGTCTTGAGGAGAAAGGAATTCCTCCACCGTATATGTATATAACTACTATAAGGATCAATGGAACGAGCATCGTTTTTAAGCTTCCGAAATTTTTTATGGTATCAAGAGCCAGGTTCTGTTTCATGGAGACATGATCTCTCTCCAGGTCGGTCAGCCTCATTCTCATTCGAGCTACTCCGAGCCTCAGCTCCCTTGTTCTCTCTTCTCACAGAGGCGTAGTTATCTCTTGCGGAGATCGTCCTGTTGTCGGCGCCACTGCTTGAGCATTGGGGGAATTGGCCGTTGACTGAACCGAAGAAGAAATGATTGTGGCCTCCATTCATTGCATTTCGAAGTCTGATCTGCTCGAAGTATAGCATCTGGACGGCCATTTGCACCGGTAGTCTTTCATTCTGAGCTACATGGCTGTAGGCTTCCTGAGATAGCTTTTGACAATCGATGGTTTTACACAGTCGGTAGCATTCAGAATCTTTGATGCCATCGAAGTTCATCGTTCT